GCAATGGATGGATATCAATGACTGTGGTTTGCACTCATCTACTTTATATCTCTGCAACAACTGAATGAACTGGGAGAACATGTGGCACACACATTTATGATCCACAGAGGATGAATTTCTGACTTGTCATATTCTGCAATTATCAAAATTTGTATAATATTTAAGTTTGACCACATATCTGCAGAAATGATCATATTTCCCTCAGTATTCAATGTATTGTGCTTTATGTTTAGAATTGACTAACCAACATTAGCATATTACAGAGAGAGATGTTAGGTCTCATGGTAATTTTCAGACTACAGGCCTGCATTTCACTGAATTGGACATAAACCCTTTGAGACACTACTGTTATTGATGAGAATGAAATCTGACAGGTTGAAAAAAAATTATGTGAACAAAAGTCTAAACCTTGAAACTGGAGATTTGGTCCCAAGGTAAAGTTGAGAACATATCATCATGTAAATCTGATGCTTTGTCTTGAACCTTGAGAGCCTAGTGCCTCTGTATGCCTAGTGTCTGAGCATACTGGAAGTCCTGTAAAAGATATTTCTAGCAAAGCACATCTCCCCCAGAAAGATAAAGTTGCTAATTAAGCCACGGCAAGGGACATTTCCTTGAATTAAGTCAAACGGTCTTGCATCATCAGTTCATATACCAAACAAGTCAGGCTAAATTTCAAATGTAAAATTATTCACTTTTGCAGTGTGTGTGTGCTGATAATGGGAATCATATATCAGCCCAACTATTCTTAGCGTCCAGACTGAATACCTACTTCACTCAAGCAGAACGATTGCTGTTAGGAGTTCATAACAGCATGTCCAATGTTCTGGATGTGGAAAGTTCAGCTTGTTTACTCAAACTCTAAATACAAAACAGATTTGCTGTTATTAGCTCTGCAATTCACAAGAATGTGCTGCCACTCGATGACACTCAAAACACTGACGTACTGACCTGAATGTAACTTCACCATGTTGGAGACTGCATTGAGATCTACTGTTTTGCAAAATCAGGTCCAAATATCACGTCATATACAATTTTATGAAAGTGAGAACACTTCACACTTTTCTCCGGAGGTACAGAATTGTTCAAAATAATAGCAGTACAATGTGACTAACTAGAATAATCCAGGTTTTTAGTATATTTTTTATTGCTACATGGCAAACAAGTTACCAGTAGGTGCAGTAGATTCTCAGAAAGCAAACAAGACCCAGCATTCATGATATGCACGCTCTTAAGGCTGTGCAATTGGGCAATTAGTTGAAAGGGGTGTGTTAAAAAAAATAGC